GAGATTGTCGTTTGCGCATTTGTTCCGACCACTAGCGGAAAACCCGGCAGTTCTTAAAAGCTGAAGAATTCCAAAGGAACGCCGTTATTTCGACAGGAAAATACAACAAAGAACATTGTTTACATGTAGCGCGTCAATTCTCTCTCTCTCTCTCTCTGCGTGTGTGTGAGACAAAGTGACTCCGAGTCATGCGCCTTCACACTAGAGTTTACGGTACGTCAAATACAGGTGCGCTGCGCATCCATTGATATGAACTGAAAAATAGCACAGATCGCTTGAGAGTGTAACTCTGAAGCGCTCAGTCAGAGTGTTCGGCGAGTGAAAATATATCTGTGCTAAACTTATACTTAGCCTCCAGCTCACACACTGGCGAGTAAAATCTGAGAATTTATTAGCCATTGGCTAATATTAGACATCATTTAGTTGCCCAGAGTAAAGATTTAGTCGCATATGCGAGTGATTTACTCACAATGTAGATGGTTGCTACTGAACCGGCACTTCCGGGTGCTGTGTATCAGTTTGAGCCTGACGCTGAGATGGCAGCCGTGCTTAGCCGGGCAACAGAGACCACCAGGCTTAAGTGGTCTCCTCTACCCTGTCCTGGGCTCTCTCGGTTGATTGATTCTTAGAGACAGAGCGCGAAACTCTGCCACACTCTGCCTCAGTTCCTTTCTTTCCAGGAAGTGCACAAGGAGCTGATGAAATCGTGGAAGGCATAACATATACACTGATACGGTGGTCCAGCAAAGGGATATACAGGGGTCCCCCGGATGGAGAGAGCGATTGCGGTGCATTTTGCATACAAAACGGTGGTGCCGTCCGAAATTCCCGTCCAGAGCACCTAAGTTACCTTGTCTCTTGGGGTGAGAGCTTATACTGCTTCTGGACAAGCTGTGTCCACTCTGCACGCCATGGCTGTCTTGCAGTAGTTTAGGCCAGGGTCTGCATGAGGGTGATCCCAACCCGGAGCATGCAGGAACTGTGTCCGGTGACTGACTATGCCCTTCAGGCTACGGAGGTCACAACGCAGGCTCTGGGGAGGGCGATGTCCACATTAGTGGCCCAGAAGCGCCACCTGTGTCTCAACATGACGGGGAAGCGGGTTCTGAGAAGGTGCGCTTTCTTGACGCCCCCATTTCCCAGGTTGGTCTCTCTAGCAACACTTTCTGAGAATTTGCCCAGCAATTCTTGACGGCAAGAAAGTGGGCGAAAGTATTCTTCCTCAGCTTGGGTTGGGTTCTATCCTTGGACCCCCAATGTATCAATCTCTACCTGCTTGTCGCGGGGACGCCCGGCTAAGTTAGTCGGTTAACCCTGACTAACGGCTATCTTCTCGCAGCCAGGTGGCACCACCAGTTCATTCTCAGGTTGCTTAGAACCCTCAGGTAGGTTTCATGTAGCAGACCTGAGACGAGTGACCCAAGGTATTTGCTGATCTGCCAGCTCCTCTTCTGTTGGGGGACGGGAGGTGGATGCTGCATCACATAGGTTATCTGCCATTCGGCAGACAGCCACCAAGTGGTCAATAAAACAGGAATTCATTCTTCCCTTGGTCATTCTAGCTTTCTGGCCCTTGGTATCACGTTTTGATGCACCAGGTCGGATCTCAAGCCAGTATGATGAACCTAGGCAAACTTCAGCTCCTTCGTACGTCAGAGGCTTCCCCAGCAGACCTCGAGGGCAAGGCTGGTGATGCGCACCTTTCACCGAGTGCCTCGAAGGACACAATGTCCTCTGCCGTGGTGAGCCTTGTTCCACAATGCCACTGGAACGCTGCCTCAGGTATGTCGAACATAGTCCCTCTGTGACCATTGGCAAGGTGTCTGGACTCCCCAGCCCTTTCCAATGGCTACACAGGGCCGTTTGGCTCGGCTGTCAGTTTGCTAGGTGCCCCCCGAAGTTCAGTGGCATTCTGTTACCCCCGGTTCAAGGGGAGAGTGTTCCAGGCAGCACACCTTGAGGAGGACTGTGCTCCCCAAGCACGGAATAGCGGTTCCTCTTGAATTATTCAGAAGCTCCTGGGTATAGCGTCCTTGGCCGTGTCATGCCACCAGAAGATGCTTATTAGACCGCTTCAGCACTGCCTGTATGACCGAGTTCTGAGATGAGCATGGCGCCTTAGTTTGCACCGTGTGGCTTTCACATGAGGTGATGTCCCATTCCAAATCTTGGAAGGACCTCTGTTTATACAGGTGGGTGTGCCTCTAGATCCGTGTCCAAAAGCACCGTTCTAACAATGGATGCATCCAGGATAGATTGAGGTGCTTCATGCAACAGCCGTGCATCCTTAGGGACCTGTTCGGTTGCTGCCTGCACGAGCATTCGATTGCCCAAAAGTTGTCGGCAGTGCTTTTTCCTTGGGGAGGTCTCGACCATTGATCCAGGACAAGCACGTGCTAGTCCGGACGGACAGCACAGCGACGGCAGCCACCAGGGCAGTAGCCGTTCAAGTCGTATGCCACAGCTTGCCCGTTATCTCCTCCTGGAGCCAGCAGGAACTTAGGTTTCTGCAAACCATTCACATTCTGGGTGACCTCATTCCCTCAGCGGAATCGCTCTTGCGATTTAATTTAATAATAATAATATTTCATAGTAATAAATTAAATACGTTATTATTTAAGATATATTATTTTTGTCTTTTGATTGTTTACAAAATTCATCTTAGGCCCTGTCCACACGAACACGATTATTTTTAAAACTGCAGCTTTTTCTACGCGGTTAGGCCGTTCGTCCACACGCAAACGCAGCATCAGGTTACTGAAACCGAACATTTTTGAAAACGCCTGCCAGGCTGAAGATTTTCAAAAACTCCGGTTGCAGTGTTTTCGTGTAGACCGCAAAACCGGAGTTTTTGGCTTGTGACGTCGGAGCATGCGCTGTTATCACCGCCTACTGGAAACTTTTTCAGGCTTCTGATTGGCCAACATGGCTTTTACGGTTGAGATTATATCGCCACCTGTTGGTTTGGCATGCTCTTGACAGTGCATCATATCATGTGTTTGTGTTTTCATGTGGACGGAGATTTTATTTAAAACGTAAGGAAAAACTCAGTTTATAAAAATACCCGTGTACGTGTGGACATGGCCTTAAATTATTCTTAGTATTTGCAATAAAGTTCTTAAAATATTTTACATTTGGAATTTATTTTTAAAATATGTACTACAGTTTAAAAGTTTTGAATCGTTAAATTTTTTTTTTTTTTGAAAGAAGTCCCTTATGCTTACCAAGGCTGCATTTATTTGATTAAATATACAGTAAAAACAGTAATTTTGTGAAATATCAATAAAATTTTCTGTTTGAATATATTTTAAAATGTAATTTATTGCTGTGATCAAGGCTGAATTTTCAGCATCATTACTCCAGTCTTCAGTGTCACATGATCCTTCAGAAATCATTCTAATATGCTGATTTGCTGCTCAAGAAACATTTCTGATTACTAACATTGTTAAAAACAGTTGTGCTGTTTCATATTTTTGTGACACATTTTCAGGATTTTTTTATTAATAGAAGAACAGAGCAGCATTTATTTGAAATATAAATATTTTGTAACATTATAAATGTATTTACTGTATTTTTTTGACGTATTAACTATTTAAAAACAAATCTTACTGACCCCAAACTTATAAACAGTAGTTTATTTACTCTTTTCTAGAAGAACTGTCTTTTTTTATCATAAATTATTAAACAAAATATGTACTGTTCAAATTAAAACAAAAAGTACACTGCAACATTTTTAAATGTGTCTAAAACTTATGACACACAAAAATGTGTGAATATCATTGCATTACATAAGAAACTCTAATCAAACCAAGTGCAAATGCTATATTTGGGGGCGCTGAATATTAAACCTCGCCACATGCTGATCCTTCATTTGTAACATTTAACCTGCCCAGGTGATCGTGTGGGGCGATTACGGCCGCATGGACAGCAAGTGTTTCATGGGAATGGCTCAGATCCTCCTGGATGATCTAGACCTGACATCGATGGTGGGCGGCTGGTACAAGCTCTTCCCCACCTCCTCTATGGCGGACCACAGCATCGGCCCTCTGACGCGCCGACTCTCCCAGTCCTCGCTTGAGAGCGCCACCAGCCCCTCGTGCACCTAGACACGTCCACGCCCCATTCTAAATATGCCAGTCTTCTCTATCTCTATGTGTGTATGTTTGTTCAATATACCCCGCCACGACCCCAGACACATGAACACACACTCTGATAGATGCAGCCAACTCGCCCGGGGCTGGAACGCTCCTCTTTACCGATACAGATATTAAGAGTTGGATACAAATCAGGCGTGACACATATAACACACACACCCTCACAGATGGATATGGGTGTAACCAGCAACATGCGGTTGTAGGGTAGTCAAGAATCAGTCATGGCTAGTTACATGCAGATCCATTGTCCACAGGTCAACCAGTAGGGGCATTTGATAAATCCGTCGAGAAATGTTCCTGACAATGTAGCATTCGTGTTGACGTCACGTCACACAGGAAGCAGAATGGGTTCTCCAAGACTAGTAGTTTCCAGACCCTTGAGGGTCAGTCATTTCTCTATGCCAAACCCAATCAAAGTTTTATTTTTTAAAAACCAAAGCAATTCTTATTATCTATAGTGTTATGTTATAGAGTATGGATATGTAGCAGAGTCAGTGACTTAGACGAGATGCAAAAAACAAAGACATATTAGAAAAAAAAGGTGCGGTCACATTAGCGAAATTTAGTTGGCAAAGAAATCCATTTTCCATTGTCTATAGTGTAGCGATGTATGAAGTCACTTTCAAACCAAGCAACTTTTAGGGCAGCGATTGCGCCTGACCAACTTGAAGATGAACGAAATCTGCTTCGGGACTTTTTCACCCTTGCGCAAAACTCCAAATCGCATGGATTCCTATAGAAATGACTGGAATTCACCTGCAAAATTTCGCAGAGCAACATTAAATGTGATCGCACCTCTAGACTACATACACAATTAAACGTTTAAAGGGCAGGGCTTTACTCCACATGTCAGGTTATTTATTAGAAATGCACACGATTCCTATCGCATAAAGTAGCGTATTTTTTTTCTTTTCAGAGAGCTGAATAAATAAATAAATATATAGATCGATATTTGTGTTTATGTATTTATCGACTGCATTCTGCACGTTAACTCGCAACCCTTGTTGAGCAAAATATGTAAAGTGCTATTTTAAGCTTGCCTTTAATATTACGTAGACTTATAGATGGTAGGTTATTTATTTTGCTAATGTTTCATTCTCACTTTTTGTCTGAGCAACTCAATCTGCACTGAGCTGCAGACGTAGTCCGAGGGACTTGAACCCTCCGAAGGAGAACCAACTGTCCTGTTAAACCAGCAACCCTCATCCATAGCTGCATTGTGGGATACGCCGAATGGTGTCTGCTGGCAAGCAAGAGAACTTTTCTTGTAGCAAGTACCGAAGATTTCTGGGAAGTTAGAGCCACACAAGACTTTACCGCCTCAAGTAGTTTTGGGTTTCTTTCTACCAGCATTTGGAACTGTTAAAGGCCTTTCCCATTTCCTGTTACTCTCAGGAGGTCACGCTGAACAAAACACACACACACAACAATATGAGGACTAGTGATGGGGTCGCTCTCTCAACAGGATCTTGAAGCCCAGAACAAATGATATTCTGTAAACTCCTGGACACTTTTGTTTTTTTGTTTTGTCTTTGAACTTTGCCATTGTGACTACTTCTGTCCAATCAGCAGTCTTCTTTAGCTTCGTCTCTGAAGCTGAGTGGCTCTAGACGGTTTCTTCATTCAATCTTTGGTGTTATGGAGACTTGTGGATGGAAAGCAGCACTGTAGGTAAAAATCTAAGTATTCATCCCACTCCTGTCAGCCTCCTGGTTTTGTTTTCATAGCTCCTCTGTATATATCAGAGCGGAAGAAGGTACCTTACACATCACAATATCTCTGTAGCAGTTCATCATTTTATTCATGTCAAATTAGTCACATCTTCTGTAGAGGTGATGGTAACACATAATATGATTCATATGTGACGGTAACAGTAAAAACCAGAACATTATTCATTTCTAAATTCCCATATGTATGCCAAATCATTAAAGACGTTCGTATAATTCAATCTGTTCAAACTTTCTTTGATGGAAGCTCACAATCTCTAAATATTGTTTGATTCTCTGGTTTGCATCATGGTGGTGTAGATAGATCTACTTTTAAAGGCCGATTATGAGACGATTAGCAAACATTTCATCTGATTTATCATTTTGAATCGCATCAACGTTTTAAGTATTTTAAAATTGTGTTTTTTACATGCTGTTTTTCTGCCAATCTGCCAATCTCACCGCTACTCTAATTAAGATGTACAGCACAAAATGTGACCATTTATCTGGATATTCATAAGAAAGTGTGCCTCACATTCCATACTTTCAAAATCTCTTTTAAATATCTTAAATATCGCAATGAATGGTCATGTTTGCGTACAGAGATTTATCTTTAAATCCTGAGAAAAATAAAAATAAAAATTTAAAAATTTAAAATCTTTTCTCTGTTCATGTAGATGTTTTTGCTTCATAAAGAATCTTTAAGGATATTTGCAAGTTTTATTTTGTGCATAATTACAAAAACTGCTGAATCAGAAGACACATGTCATGCACACTAAATATATTTGCATTTTAATTGTTTCTGTAAGGCCAAAAGTATAAGTTGGAGCAAAAAATGGGACTTTACACTTTCTTATTTTCATCTGAAATGGTAAATTATTATATTTTAACCATGCCAGTCATCACAGATTTGACATATTTAGAATATTTTACTTTCCAGCCCGTCAAAATGAGTCTCTGCTATCTTTCACATACACGTCTTGCTTCTTTTGTATTTGCACAGGTTTGATTGTGTTGCACCTTTCTCTTTTCCACTAACAGACAAATGTCTATACATTAAATTAGGAACAAAAAATTATTTCTTAATTCTAACTTAAGATGAAATTGTATTACTGTACTGAAAACAAATTGTATTTGCAGCTGAATGTTTGTCCTTGGTAAACACATATGAAATGACTTATTAGATATTGATATTTTTTCTATGTGATTTTACGTACTTGGAAATTTGGGATAATATAAGTGTCCCTTTACTGTACAATGAAGTAGTTACAAAATCTAACTGGTCTTGCATTTTTGCAAAATGAAAAGAGTGAATGCATGAATATTAGTACTGTACTGCTCTATTTTTTCAGGTGTAGTGGATGGATGTAGTTTGTTGCAGTCCATAGCTAAACCAAATGCAACATTGACAACAAAAAAAAAAATCTTCCAGATTTCTGTGGTTTGGATGCGTTTAGATTTTTTTTTATCATGGAATGAGAACGATCAGATCTGTTTTGTTCTGACAGTAATCAGAACCAGCTGTCAAATGCTTCTGTGATGTGCTGATAATCTGTACAAATCTTTGAGTATAATGTTGTAACTTCTGAATAAGATTGGCTGAAAAAGCCAGAAAAAGTGGCTGGCATCTGGTTCGTTTAAATGCTCGTTGTTGAACTACTTCATGCTTTTATATGCGAGACCACTTCATGCTTTTTAGTTTATACATGGTGAAGTCAGAAGAGTCTTTTTTTTTTTTGGCAGTTTTATGGCATGCACAGTTTATGTGTGAGTGTAAGTAGGTGACACCAGCCTGACTGGGGAATGATCTTAATACACTGAATACAGATCAATATCAATGTGATGTCATGATGTAAGCTGAATAAACCTGAAAGAGCGTTTCTGCGTGGAAACAGTTGGAAGTGGTCAACCTGGTATTCATGCTTACTTTTTTATTTGCATTCAGAAATGGACAGTAGATTGTAAAACTGAGAATGATGCGTGAATTTGATCATTCATTTTATGAGATTTCGCTTCGTTGGGTACTGTGTGATGTATATAAATTATAGAAATGTTGAGAGATTGCTTTAATTTCAAATAGGAATGTAATCCCTTTACGTCTATCTGGGCCATTTAAAGGAATAGTTCACCCAAAATGAAAATTGTACTCAGCCCAGGCCATCCAAGATGTAGATGAGTTTGTTTTTTCATGTGAACAGATTTGGAGAAATTTAGCAACACATCACTTGCTCACCAGTGGATCCTCTGCAGTGAATGTAGATCAAATTATTTCTAATAACACACAGCACTTTACAAGATGTTAACTGATGGACTGGAGTGGTGTGGATTATCATGATGTTTTTATCAACTGTTTGGACTCTGACGGCACCCATTCACTGCAGAGGATCCATTGGTGAGCAAGTGATGTAATGCTACATTTCTACAAATCTGATGAAGAAACAAACTCATCTACATCTTTGATGGCCTGAAGGAGAGTACATTTTCAGCAAATTTTCATTTGTGGATGAACTGTTCCTTTAAGCCCTTGTGAAGTCTTTTTTTTATGACCCCTAATACTGTGTTTGTTACGTTTGTGAACAAATATAAAGACTAATGAGGATATATTGAGCTTTTATCTTATTTTTGTCAAATGAATTATCTTACAGAGTGGTTTGTTGGATGAAAGGCGATGGCTTGTTTATTACTTGAATGTGCGTATTAAATATTTCATCAACATATTTGTTTTACAGTGTCTGAGTGACAGAACATCTTTACCCGGTATGTGTTGATGTTTAAAGGCTTGCATGAGCACAACATCCCTGGTATCTAAATCAATCTGTCTGCTATCACTGTTGATTTGAGCATTCAGTTTTGCTGAAAAACTAAGATTGATATCAGATATCAGTTGTGCCTATAGGTCAAATGTAACATTCGGTGCATGCCTGTTTTAGTCATTTACATTTACTTCATTGAGATTTGTAAAATGATCTGGAGAAAGTAAGCATTGCATTTTCTTTGCAGCATGTCTGTGTTTATTTTTTCAAAGAGCCACGCGGTGTATTAAATTTGGGTTCTATTTTTTTGGGGATCACACTTAACAAAGACATTGAATGAAAGAAAATATGTATTTTTATTTCATTCATATTATATGATTACAACCTTGAATTTATTGTACTTTTGGGTTGGACTTAAAAGACTGTCATTGGCAATTTATTTATGTCACATATGTAAAGACGGTCATTTGTAGTCGGTTTTCTCGTCCATGTAGCAAAGCTGTTAGCAGCTCTTGTTGTTGCCATGAATCAGCCATTCATATTATTCATGACATTGTGAACAGCACAAGACACTGTTGGAACATGCTCACCTTCACAGACAGAGGTTTTCAACTTTCACGAGAAACGTAGCTACTTTGAAAACGATGCCCAGTTGCATCCACTATATGTAACCCAATCAAGTCTTGCACTTTGAGAGAGCACGATCAAAGATTTATCAGAGTAAGAGTGGCCCTCAAAATTTTAGAAAATGATTTGAGCTGACAGTGCGCTGCTGTTTAGGAATAACACAATGGTAAAGAGCTGTACAGGGAAGCTGTAATTTTATACTTGTGCTTTGTAAATGTTTTCTATGTGCAGTATTTGATCATGTAAAACTGGTATTTTTGTGGTTTGTATGCTACAGAACTAATTATTTAAGGTGCACGCAGTTTTGTAAGAAAAGGTTGGGAAACTTTGAAAAAAAAAAAAACTCATTTTGACTGAAGCCTGTATCTGCATGCATATTGACTGCTGGAAGCTGGAGGTCAATAAATTTTATTTGAATCATCTCGTCTTTGTGTCTGAATGGAATAAATTATTGGGTTTTAATTTTATCCTGAACCATAAATGCCTATACTTTAAAACAACAACAACAACAACAACATGTAATCTGCTCACCCACACATCGTGATTTATTTGGCAAATAAGCAGTTGTCAGATATTTTCAACAATGCAGAGGAAATCAGTAAGATGTATAGAAATATGTACACTAAGAAAAGTATGTGTATGTTAAGTGCCGTTTTACATGTAGGCCCAGGACACAGCATTTGAGGTGAACTGCCTAATGCTCTCCGGTGCTGTACAATAGGACTGTTCAGAGACTGAGCACATCCTCTTGGAGGGTCCACCGGAGGGACTGCATCCATCATTCATTTGGCCCAAACTGTAAGTTGGACAAGAAATGTGTGGAAATGATCCACTGAAATCGGCGTATGCAGTCTGATTGGGCCAGTCCCATGTTTTCCTCTTGCACGCCAAACCGCGGTCTCCATTTGCGAGGCCCACAAACGCGTTTTCCAGGCTCCTTGTTGCACAAAGTACCGGTCTGTGCCTCACGGAGGCGCTGCTTTCCCGCTGCAAAAGTGACTCTATGGAAAACGGGCTGGTAAACTTCTTTTCTGCCTCGGGGTGTTCAGAGACTGAGCACATCCTCTTGGAGGGTCCACCGGAGGGACTGCATCCATCATTCATTTGGCCCAAACTGTAAGTTGGACAAGAAATGTGTGGAAATGTTCCACTGAAATCGGCGTATGCAGTCTGATTGGGCCAGTCCCATGTTTTCCTCTTGCACGCCAAACCGCGGTCTCCATTTGCGAGGCCCACAAACGCGTTTTCCAGGCTCCTTGTTGCACAAAGTACCGGTCTGTGCCTCACGGAGGCGCTGCTTTCCCGCTGCAAAAGTGACTCTATGGAAA